CAGCGGGGCCTCGCTGCTGCCGCGGGGCCCAGGCGCGTGGTCGCTGCCTCTTTTGGTGCTGCAAGCCCCGCCACGGCCCCCGGAGGGGCAGCCAGGGGCTCTGCTCAGCGCCCTCGAGACACCCTCCCACTACCTGCCTTTTTAATGTATCTTTTCTGTCACAAATCTCTGTTTTGAAGACTTTTCTAGACCTCCTGTCTCCCAGAGGAGGGAGGCGAGGAGGGGACCAGGGCTGGGGGGCTGCTCCAACCGTCCCCCTGCTCCACGTTTCAGTCCTGCTTGTCAGCACCTCCAGCCCCTGGTGCTCCCGGGCTGGGACAGCGGCTGCAGTGGGGCTGCCGCTGCTTCTTCTTTTTTTCCTTAACTTAATGGTACGGGGCGGGGGGCCACGCAAGACCCGTGCATCAATCATGAGCAGAATGGGGGAAGCTTCTTGAGTCGTTAACCATTTTATACGGTTGTTTACTCTTCTCTCCGATTAAAAGATGCTTCAGAAACGCCTCGGGCTCGTGTGATGGGGGGGCTGGGAAATAAAATCATTGAAACGTTTGGCCCTTTCTCGTGTTTTGAGCCTCGGGTCCTGCTCCGCCGGGAGCACAGGGAGCAGAGTGGGTAAAAACGCGAGGGAGCCGCCCGCAGCGTTAACCATTTTATACGGTTGTTTACTCTTCTCTCCGATTAAAAGATGCTTCAGAAACGCCTCGGGCTCGTGTGATGGGGGGGCTGGGAAATAAAATCATTGAAACGTTTGGCCCTTTCTCGTGTTTTGAGCCTCGGGTCCTGCTCCGCCGGGAGCACAGGGAGCAGAGTGGGTAAAAACGCGAGGGAGCCGCCCGCAGGAACCACGTTATGAGGTTTATTGAGCTCCGCTTTCTGCCCGTGCCGGGGTGCGGGGGCGCTGCAGCCGGCGCTCAGTCGCCGGGCGCGGGCGCGGCGCGGCGCGCGCGGCGCTGCTGCAGCAGCCGGTAGGCGCGGACGCCGCACACGTAGCCGCCGTAGAGCGG